ATTTTCTCCCTCCCTCCCTCCCTCCCTTCTCATATGGAACTTTTGAGCCATCAAGAAACCCAGCTCCTTTTTGCATGCACTGCTCCTGCTCAGTATGGTCCCCTGCTCCCCCTCCTAAAAATCACACTTTCCATTTTTCCTGCCAAAATGTATGACTTTGCATTTCTTCCTTGTCATTTGCATCTTTGCGTCTCCCTTACAAGATGCATTTCATCTTGTCAGTTTCTACCTGTTGCTCCAGCTTGTAAAGATCTTGAATATTGAATATTGACACTGTTCTCTAAGGTGTCTGTGTTGTCCACAGATTTGATAATCTCATTTTCTCATTTTCTAACCCCTCATCAGAGCCATCTATAAATATGTTGAATAGTGCAGGGCCTAGAACTCAACACTTCCCTTCAGCTTAATGCAAGGCCATTGATACTCACTCTTTGGGTATGATTACTCAGTCATCTGAGAGTAGCATAGTTGAGCCCACTTTTGCTATCTTTATTAGGATCACATAAAATGTTGAATGCTTTGCTGGTATCAAGGTCCATTCTTCCACTGTATTCCCACAGTCAAATGAACTGATCACTCTGTTTAAAAAAGATCAGGTTGGTTTAACATGCCTTGTTCTTGATATCCCCATGTTGGGTCCTGTTAGGCAATGTGTTGTTTTGTAAATACAGGTAGTCCCCGGGTTAAGAACGCCTGGGTACAGACGACCCATAGCAAAATTCAAGTTAAAGACACAATGATTTGAGTTAGATACATGATGGTTTGGGTTCATTACACAATACTACTTGTACCAGCTTACATACAAATTCAACTTAAGGACAGACCTTGGGAAAGGAACTCATACTCAGGAACAAAATGCTTAATAATCTGTTCCAGTTTTGTCCAGTATAAACATCAAGTTGACCTGTCTGTAGTTACGCTGGTTTTCTTTCCATTTTTGAAGACAGGAACGCTTGCCTTTCTCCAATCTCCCTAACACAACACTACACTACACTACATGATTTTTAGATATCAAAGAAAGGGGCTCTGAAATGACACCCACAGCCTCTTTCAAGCCTCTTGGATATCATTAGCCTGGGCTGAAGGCTTTGGGCTCATCCAAAGAGCCTCAAGGAGTTGATTTCCTCCTATTCTCAAGCACATCAGTCTCAAAACAGCCGCCATTTGCTGAACCTCCAGATTGAGGCCAGCAGAGCTGATGCCCTGATGCAAGGCTAGCCTTTGTTGCCACTGCCGTTCCAGGAGGCAGGGCTGGTGCTCCAGAGGCGTTCCAGCTGTGGGCAGATGTTCTGCTCCCCACTGAAAGAGGGCTTGTGACCCAACATACCAGCAGACCAAAGAGTTTCCTACTCAGAAGGTTTTAGTAGCTGAGGGGCTTGATAAGCAAAGTGCAGTATCAGTCACAAAGGCATTTAGAAGAGTATCTTTTTCTTGCATTTCTACCTTTTAATTCCTTATTTCCTGCATTTATTAATAATGGCTCTAAATAAAAATAAATAAAAAGGAGACAGGAATGGAGGGAGCTTTGTTTTGTCCCTGGAAATATTTAAATTATGTCCAATTCAGGCCACAGTTTCATAGAACTGTCAACAGCTTTACAAGTACCAAATATACAAAATTGATGTAAATTCATTTGGTCTGGTGATTTAGTTAACATTTTTAATGGGTTCTTTTGTCTCACTTTGTGTATTTGGCCTGTTGCTTTCCTCTTTTAAGTTCGATTGTATAGAGGTTATATTAATACTTTTTAACTAAAGCCTACTTTTAGCTTGATCCACGTGTTTGGATACATATAGATCAGGATAAAAATTTGAAGTTCTTCTGCAATGAACTTTGACTTATTTAAATCCTTTCCATCATACAGTATTCCTTCAAATCTTTTAATGTCTTATTACACTGACATACATACATACATACATACTAGCACACACTAGCATACTGAGAGCCAGTTTGGTGTAGTGGTGTCAGTGCTGGTCCAGAAACCAGGAGACTGGGAGTTCTAGGCCTCCCTTAAGCACAAAAGCCGGCTGGGTGACTTTGGGCCAGTCATGCTATCTCAGCCCAACCCACCTCACAGGGTTGTTGTGGGGAAAATAGGACGCAGGAGAATTAGGTACGTTTGCCACCTTGACGGTGCGATAAAAATCTAATACTATTACTATATTCATAATGCTTTAGTTATGTAATAATTTTATCATTGTAACAATTAAATCCCATAGTTCTAGTCCTCTAGTCCATCAATTATATTTTATGTTTTCAAAGAGCCTTTTTTTTTTAAAAAATAATTCACTGGCTTCCCTTTCTAATTTATCTACATATCCTTTTTGCTTTTCCTAAGATATCTAAGAAGTTTAATCCATGCACCTTGCATTCCAGCTTTAAAAGCCTCTGAGTGTATCAGGAGTGATACGCAATCATCAGGATACTCTATTAAACAGTTGTTTAATATCTCATTCAAATATTTGAGACAAATCTGGTTTAAAAATAATGTAGGATTTAACTTCTGCTGGTGTAAATTAGTTTTCTTAATTGAGATAGATAAGGTAATAGAAAATGTGGTATTAATTAGACCAATTGAAATTTTGGTAAGATTTTGAACAAGTGTTGCAGATATCAAAATATAACTAGTTTGAGAGACGTTATTGTACATTTTGGAAAAAAGTTGATAGTGTTGTCAACCATATGTTGAATTATCCAGATATCACCTAAATCACACACAGATATTAAACTTTCAATATTTCTCTTAATATATTTCATTATTCTGTTTAAAAGCTGGGGTGGGGGAAGGATATGCTATCCTTGAATTCCAGTTCATATTCCCTTCCAACAGATCCTGTTGAAAACCTACTAATTTTTTTGAAAAATGTTTTCTGGAGAAAATAATTTTATGCATTTGTTTTCACATCTATCAAATCAAATCTTTATTATGGTCAGAGACCAGCATAATGAGGGTGGGGTAC